GAGCGAGGCATTATGATGGGAAAAAAGACGAATCTATTCCCTAGCCACTTCACTATTTAAGCCTTGTAACTTGTACATGTACTTTGTACTGTCCACACATGAAACAATGCTACATCAAGTTGCACTCATGCGCGTCGATGACGGGCACGAGTGTATACGCCGCCGATTCCACAAGATGTCTGCCTATAGTCACTCTATAGGATTAGGGCACCGTCAGCTAAACAACAAGAATTCGTTTGAAAGTGGAAGCATTAATTAGACCAGACTGGTGTGTTTGAATCGATGGTTTGAGTCATTTGGGATCCCTGCAACGGGTTGGGAACGGACATATTTGGGTCTGACAAAAGGGCACTTTCAGCAGTAAAAAAGGGCACTGTCGAAAATTAGGAGGGGCGCGCGGCCCCCTTGAATCCGCCTCTGTGGTTAACTCGCTAACAAAGGCAAAGCATTAACGGAAAAGACAAATGTTCCCAAACTTTTCACAGAAACAATATTTGATCAAGCTTATTTCTATTTCTTCTTTAAATAGCTAATAGGCATTCATTTCTATTGGATGGCTAATTGAAAAGCACTGTATTTTTTTTTACTGATCTTTCAATTTTAAAAGCAGATTTTCAAGTTCAAAGTTGAGAATGAGAAGTTTTACCACCTAACGGAATGATCATTTTGACCACATAATTTGATATACTGTTTTTTTGACGGTTGCGAAAATTTTATATCATATATTGTGTAAACCGGTTTTTTCCCCGTTATTTGTACGTTTTTCTGAAAATAGCCCATATCAATAATTGGAATGATTCTGAGAAGGCTAAGTATCTGGCAATAAGTGTGACAGGTAAAGCCAGTGATCCCAAGATATCATAATTAATGTGTCTAAAGCTGAGATTTATATGGATGGAAGTTCTTTTAGATGTGATTTTAAGGGAGGTTTGGGAGTTTGTTAAATGAATGTGAATGGAAATATTGCTTTATTACCTGTTTGTGAGCAGGTACTTAATGCTAAGATCGGTGGGATAGTGAGCTTTGGTGATCGCCTAGATGAATAATTTAAGAATCAGCCTAGCAATTATCCAATGGTTGGACGTAGCATTGTTAGAACTGACGCACAGGGATCTGTTCCGGTTATACTTTTTAATCCTTCCCCAGAGATAATCAGTCTGAGTAAGGGTACCACGCTTGCTTTATTATAGGAGGTGTCAGAGATTTTTCCTGGGAAGAAGATGAATACTAACGAGGATTCCGATATTATTGATTCTCTTGTTGAAGTGTTGTTGTCATCATGTAAAAACTCCTTGACGGTGAGTCAGTTCAGAGACGCAGAAACACTATTAACCAGGAATATTTCTGCATTTGTCAGAGATGAAGATGATGTCGGAAGAACTCACTTGGCGGAGCACATTATCAATACTGTTGACGCCTAACCGGCACGGTTGGCTAACCAGAGACTGCCTTTTGCTGCCAGGAAGCATCTCATAGAGATGACTAGGAGGGACATGATTGAGCCTGCGATTGGGCCTTGGTCTTTTCCAATTGTTCTTGTGAAAAAGAAGAGTGGCGAAAGTCGCTTCTGTGTAGATTACCGGAAGTTAAATATGGTAACTATCCGGGATCGAATTGGTGAATCTATCGAGTGTCTGTCAGGAAAAGTGTGGTTCTCATGCCCTGACCTTGGATTCTTCAAGGTAGAAGTAGTCGAGAAGGGTCGTCCGAAGACTGCTTTCGCTACTCCAATCGGAATTTTCCATTTCAAGGTCATGCCCATGAGTTTTTCGAACAGCCCTCTACTTTCGAGAGGCTCATGGAGAATACATTATCAGGACATGTTTAATTTATTTGGACGATATCATAGTCTTTTCGGCTACGTTTGAAGAGCATGTGTCCCGATTAGGTGAAGTTTTAGATAGTATTAGAATGGCTGGTTTAAAACTAATACCTAAGAAATGTCAGCTATTTTGTATTTGGGTTACAAAATTACTAGAGATTGGCCAACACCCAAATGTGTAACCGAGGTCCTTGACTGTTTGGGGCTGTGCTCCTATTATCGTAGGTTTGTGAAACAGTTTTCCCAAATAGTCGAACCACTTCACGATTCACGGACTAATCAATGCGAAGAAGCTTTTCAGAGTTTGAAATTCAGTCTGATAACTGCTCCAGTCTTACTGATCCAAATAAAGAGTTCATCTTGCATACCGATTCCAGCGATGTCGGTTTAGGCGGTGTATTAATTATCTCAGCTTGATGAGGATGGTTTTGAACGAGTAGTATTAGAGAGGAGTCAAAGGAACTACTGTACAACACGGAAGGAGCTGTTAGCTTCTGTTAGCACTTTAGACCCTGTTTTTACGGTCGAAAGTTCATTCTCCGGACAGACCATGCTTCGTTGTGCTGGATAATGATATTTAAGAACCCGCAAGGGCAATTAGCCGGCTGGTTGCAGGTGATATCCGAGTTTCACTTTGAAATTGTCCATAGGTAGGGTAAACACCATGGCAACGCTGGCGGCTTGTCCAGAAAACACTGTAGAAAGTTGTGATTGTGATATGTTTATAAATTGTGAAGGACACAAAAACTTGTTTTGTTCCTGACGATCATTCTAACAACAGTACTCGCGATGGACTGTTTCGTGTGAAACCGATACGGAATTCAATCTTTCATCTGTTGTAAAACTCAACATTATTCTTTTTGCGTGTTATCGAGGACGACCGATTCTCGGAGTCGTGGCATTATTTTCTTGTTATTTGATTAACAATATTTAGGCTACTAAATGTAGATTTCTTTATCTAATTTGTCAATATTTGTTTAATGTGTTTTGTGTGCCGTTCCTTTAATCCAGTGGTTCTCAAGCTTTTTTAGGCAACGGCACACATTAGGGCACACGAAAAAATAGCGGTACACCTGGCTAAATATATATGAAAAATATTTGAATTTTCAAAATAAATACATGGCAAGTCATAGACAGCATACAACCGCAGACACAGGCTAGTCATAGAAACATAGAATGACCCAAACCAAATTAAGAAAAACACAGCTATGAACGTACCAGTAGAATATTCAATTGGGATCAAGTGGCTTTTCGCATTTTCTTGGTGTGCCGTTCAAAATTTCGCGGCACACTTAGGAAGATGTGCCGCGGCACACTGTTTGAGAATCACTGCTTTAATCCTTTGTCTTTATACGTGTATATATATTGAGCATTCAAATAGTAGTGAAAGTTGGATATCGGCAGGCATCCACGGAATATCTTTGAATCATGTTTTTGGTGTTTTATTACTGCAAACTTATACTCTGAATATTCAATGTATAAGTAAAGCCGTTTTGGAGATCTATTAGTGTGTTTGTATTTACATGTATTTGAAAGCTATTCTGTCTAGTGAGCGGCATGGGCGTGGATTTAGGGGGGCGGGGGATGAATATATCTGCTCCCCCTCATGATTTTAATCGCCAGGACAGATTTTCAGGTTTATATCCAAATGATGGTGAGCTTGTTTCTACGTATCTGGAACTGAATCGGGACTTGGAACAAGAATTGCCATTCTTCAAGCGCCAGTTTTTGGCCAAATCTATTTCACTTAAGTACGAAGCGTTCCTCATTATGTCACCTGAAGTGAGGCAGATGTTCCCTTCTGTCGAAGCTCTTCTCATCTCACACTGCTGAACCCTGCTAGTTCCTGCTCAGCCGAGCGATCCTTCAGCACTCTGCGCCGTATCAAAACTTGGCTGCGCAACTCCATGACGCAAAACCGACTGAAACACTTGATGGCGTGTGGGGTGCGTAAAACTTGTGAAGGTAAAAAAATGTAATAAAAAGAATGAATGGTTTGACAGAGACTGCAATAGGTTGAAAAGAGATCTTATTGCTCTAGAACAATTAAATAATAATTTAAACAACTCCAAACTGCGGTCAATATATTATAAGAGAAAGAAAGATTATAAGAAAACAACTAAATACAAAATGCGACAGGCTATGAATGCAATATTAGAAAAACTTGATGATCTTGATAGCAATAACCCGCGTGAATACTGGAAACTTGTCAATTCCCTTCTTAAAGACAAACCAGATGGGGCTGATAACATAACCATTAACGCGTGGGAAAATCATTTTATCACACTTTTTGAAAAAAACCATGATCAGCCCAAACTCTCTGAAATATTTGAAAAAATTGAACAACTTAAACAAGAGCCTATTAATACCTACCTAAATGAGCCTATCTCTGCAAATGAACTTCGAAAAGCTGTAAAAAAACTAAAAACAAAAAAATCGAATAGGCCTGATTTGATAATCAATGAAATGTTAATATCTTCCTCCGAAATTATGATTGATCAGTTCCTAAAATTGTTCAATATGATTTTAACGACGGGTTGCTATCCAGCGTCCTGGATGGAATCTATTGTTCCATTACACAAAAAGGGCAGTAAGGATGATTTAAATAACTATCGTGGCATTTCCCTGTTCAATTGCTTCAGCAAGTGTTTTCTGTCTATTATCAATAATCGAATAACAAATTACCTTGAAGACAACAATTTACTTGACCCGGCACAGGGCGGATTCCGTAAAAATCATCAGACAGTTGATAATATTTTCATACTCAAAACGATTATCAACAAATTTTGTAAATCAAAACTTTTTATGAGAAATGTTTCTCTACCCTGTGCTTTATCCTTTATCGTCAGATGTGGGACAGGTTGGGCACTCAAAGCGCGAGATAATGATATAGACATTATGTGATATCACAATTGATGCTTTGCATCCATGAAATTGAATCACAATGTCATGGTATTAATTCATATAAAAATTGACGTCAAACGAGATGTTGAATTTCTCTGTTTAAAAAGCTCAATGTGTGTGTATATACACCACAATGACGATAGAGGCAATGCGTGTGTGTGTGTGTGTGGGGGGGGGATACATTGTGTCAGGAACCTGGCAAACCCCCTCCTGCAAAAATTCCTGGATCCGCCCCTGAACTGCATATATAGTTACTTCCCTTGATTGAGTGCTTCAGAACTTGGCGGTGTTTGTGAACATGGCACCAACTTTTTCGTACCGGTACCGGTAAGTTGCTGCATATAATTGATGTGGAAATACCCAGCAAACAATAGAGGAGAAGTTCATCGTATCAGAGCATTCTTGATAATGCTAGCCATTTCTACACTGGAGCATTCCTGAAAATAACGATAATGATAACACTGCCCCGATGCCCAAAATACCAGCCACTTTGACTTAGCCCTACGACCCTACGTAGGCCTACGGCTGTGACGACTGTTGAAGTTGCTTGTACTTCGCAATCACATTTAAAGGACCTAAGTCCGTAACTCAAAATCCTCCAAAATCTTCGACATCGAAAACACGAATTATTGGTCAATTTAAATCAACATTGATGATGTAAACTTACCGGGAAAAGATGAGCTTCTGATATACGATATTTAAGATAAAATAATTTTTTTAACATTGGTACACGAATCGTGTATCATAATGCGCTTCAGCCCCAGTTGTATTGAGAGGGACGAGGCTAGACACATTGCACCAAATCAAATGGAGTCATGTAGACAGTCATATGTAGACTAGAAGAACTAGACGCTAGAGATTTGCACTCGATTGAGATTGCTGACTTATTTCGCCGAACATAACTGATTTGAAATTGGAGTAAAAACGGAAAGCATTAAATGTAAATCAGTTTATATACATTCATATTACAGTATTATATGCGTTGCGACCCACTTTTGTGAATTTCTAGGTCCCAAATGTTAGCGATTTAGCTCCTTTAAGCCTTCTGTTTCGTCGGCCTATTTATTGAAAATATTAATAAACACATACAACAGGTAGCTAGTTCCATGGAGCCATTTCTATGGCTTAGGAATCAGGGATGTGGTGGTTGTACAGAACTTTCAGCAACAGATTGTGCCACTTGAACTTGAACGGCTTGGTGTGTAAGATTTAATTGATAGTTGATAGATCTAGGCCTACCAATATATATTTTTGATTTAGGTGTATTTGTTTGTAGACATTTTATTAAAGATACACTAGTTAAGAGTTGGCCATTCTATTTCTTGCTATAATACCGGTAGGCCCTAATTCAAAAATAGATGATAAAAAATAAAAAAAAAAATATTGTAAATTTCAGTCAAATTACTTTATTTTGAACGGAGTTGTCACTGTTGGAAATTTGGACTGTAGAAATAGGCATCAACTGTGTCTGCACCATCTACGAGAATTGCCGATCGTTTGATTGACAGACGATAACTCCACCCACATTTTTCGATTATCATGTTACATTCTCAATGGCTATGGTACCCTCGCTTGGTAGGCCTTTCATTGGCAGTCTCCGGTAGTGATGTCAGTGACTAACGGTAATTGTTAGCTTGGTTGGCCATTTCTTGATTTAATTTTAAATGGACGACTGTTTAAATCCAAACTGTATCCAAGCCATCTGAGGGTCTACAGAGTTGATTTTAAGCTTGTCGTGTAAATAATGGTCTAATTAAACATACATAATTTATGCAAGAGCTAAATCTGTCTATCGCAGGTCTTTCTTTAGACCTGAAATGTTATCTAAATTATTAATTAGACATTAATTAACTTATCCAGACCATAATCAACTCTAGATAGCATCGCTAGCCAGCGATCTTAAGCGGATTGTGAGCCGATTTACTGCATAACTTTCCTTCTCGATTTAACGATTAAATGGATAATCGAGACAATGCTGTTTATCGTACTGACTTTAGGAATGATGACAGAGGCTAGGCAAAAATTTCATTCGCTTAGTTCTGGGTTCATAGTGGATTAATTTGAATGAAATTTTCAGCAAATTGCCTTTACGTTATCTAGTTTTTAACTATTATAATGAGAACTGCCAACTCGTTATTGAATCTCCCATAATGTATCTTTAATAATTTCTATAACATCTGAAGCCTAAATAAAGACTTGCAATAGGCAGATTTAGCTCTTGCATAATGTATGTTTAATGTGGATTAAACCTACATTATGCAAGGGCAAAATCTGCATATTGCCGGTCTTTCTTCAGGCAGGTCATTCCATCTCAATTCAGCATGTGCACGCTGTATCATAAGGTCTGTCATTAAGCCAACTGATGTGGTTTCGATTCTCTGGTTGTACGTGAGTAGTAGGGTGTTTCACTTTTCACTTTTTTTGGAATTTCTAAGGTTTCTACCCGTCACCGAAATCCACTTGGGGTCAAACTTACACCGTAATATTTTCAGAATTTTCTTGCCAAAAATGGCTCCCGACGGCCATTATTTCCAAAATTGCGACTATTTTCTGGATTTTTGGACGTTTTGAGCTTGACAGATCACTTAGAAAGGTCAGGTATGGCTTGTAATGTATCTATTTTATGCTTTTTAGGTATGCAGAGTCCATTCCCACTATCTTAAATGAGATAGTCAGAATCCAAGATGGTGGAAATCCAAGATGGTGCCCCAAATTCCCTATTTTCGTGACATGGAAAAGCATTTTTCAAAGACTATGTCATTCTGAACATCATTTTGGCCCTGATAATAAATTTTGCACTCATAAAATTCATTATCAGGGCCAAAATGATGTTCAGAATGACACTGATCCACCTTTGGTTGAAAATGGCGGAAGGTAATGACTGAAGGTGAAGTTCCGATGGAGTATATTCACAACACTATTAATCTGGCAGAACTATGACTGAACCTGGAAATTGTTTACAAAGTTTTTTTATGATTGATTTAAGTAGCCTAAGGTGTCCTCTTTCAGAATGTGCCGGGTGAACCTCGGTAACGCTTGAGCGTTTTGAGAAATTCAAAATGGCATCCAAGACGGCCGGCATTTCTCTAAATACACTAAAATCGTTCATTATGTTGTGGGGTGATTAGATGATAGTAAAATCCAAAATACCAGATAATATGGCCCTTTAACTCGTTAGCGGCGGTTGGGGGCGATTATTTCACCAAACCAAATGATATCTAGAGACAAACTATATTTCTGGACATGGGAGCATATGAGTAATATGATAACACCACATACATGCCTATCAGGAACTCCAGGGCCACATGACAGACTCTGGAGCATGTTGGCCGGTTGTAATGTTCTCACTGTAGTAACCTTCACCCAGCAAAACAGTTCCGGATCAAGTTCCCTGCAAATGCATCATTCGTTGAGCAAGACTACATGGTTTGGGTGGGGGGGGATGCTGACCATACATTTCAGTTTTGGATGTCCAATTGTGCATACCCTCCAGCGTGTTTCGGACATCGATTTGCTAGAACTTTGTCCATAACCAGATGACATGTACAGTGGCCTGTACAAGCACAGATTCTATTAGAGCGTCTGGAGAGAGAATACAATCAAGCTCTCACCACTTTCAAAGCTATTCCTTTCCCCACGACGTAACAGCAAGTAACTGTGTCACATCCAGTAAGAGCATGAGCTGACAGGATTTCAATGGTACTGGACATGTTTCTCAGAAGTTGAACCAATGTCAACTGTTGTTCTTTCCTCGATTGGTGATTCCATTGTAAGAAGCTTGTTATAGACAGAGCTATTGCAAATCGCTGTCTGAAACACGTTGGAGGGTATAGGCATCCAAAACGGGAAATCTGTCGTCATCATCCCCACCTAAACCATGTAGTCTTGCTCCAAAGAATGATGCATGTGTAGGGAACGTAAAAACATGTCATCACCAAGCTATTGTGTGGCCTTGACTGGAAGATCGTAGTCCGCAGGAACTATATTGCTTGGTTAAGGACACTAAATTGAGAACATTACAACCGGTCAACGTGCTCCGGAGTCTGTTACGTGGTTCATCAGATGTGGATGCAAGAGTGACATGTAGTACGCGTGCTTGTAGCTACACTAGGGATGGCTTAGATTATACAGTATTTTGCAGGTTGCAGCCAGAAACATGACTAGACGATTAAACTGAATATTACCTGGTTATTTTCGTGTTTTACGGGTAGAATTTGTTGGGTTTTTTTAAATATTCAAAAAACAGCTTGTGCCCCCCTTTCCAGGGCCGATCCATGTGGTCCTGGGGCTCCTGATAGGCATGTATGTAGTGTTATTGTATCACTCATTTGCTACTATATCAAGAAATATATAATTTGTCTCTAGATATAGTTTCGTTTGGTGAATAATCGCCACAACATAATGAACGAGCTCAGTGTATTTAGTGAAATGCCGGCCGTCTTGGATGCCATCTTGAATTTCTCAGAACGCTCAAGGGTTTACCGAGGTTCAACCGGCACATTCTGAAAGAGGACACCTTAGGCTACTAAAATCAATCATGAAAAAAAACTTTGTAAACAATTTCCAGGTTCAGTCATAGTTCTGCCAGATTAATAGTGTTGTGAATATACTCCATCGGAACTTCACCTTCAGTCATTACCTTGCGCCATTTTCAACCAAAGGTAGATCAGTGTCATTCTGAACATCATTTTGGCCCTGATAATGAATTTTATGAGTGCAAAATTTATTACCAGGGCCAAAATGATGTTCAGAATGACATAGTCTTTGAAAACTGCTTTTCCATGTCACGAAAATAGAAGATTTGGGGCGCCATCTTGGATTTCCACCATCTGACAATCTTATTTAAGATAGTGGGAATGGACTCTACATACCTGAAAAGCATAAAATAGACACATTACAAGCCATACCTGGCTTTTCTAAGTGATCTGTCAAGCTCAAAACGTCAGAAAATAGTCGCAATTTTGGAAAAAATGCCCGCCGGCAGCCATTTTCGGCAAGAAAATTCTGAAAATATTACGGTGTAAGTTTGACCCCGAGTGGACTTCGGTGACGGGTAGAAACCTTAGAAATTCAAAAAAAAGTGAAAAGTGAAACACCCTAGTGAGTAGGGTCGCCTGTCCAACCTCGTGGTTTTTCTCTGGATCCTCCAGTTTCCTCCCACTGCTAAAGACTCCTAAGTGCAAGCGATTTCCATCTCAATTCACCAAATGGATTTAACATGACCGTCTCAGATATTGATGAAAATCGGTAGACATGTTCGTTTAGCACCTGAGAGACGATATTTCAAATTTCAGCTTGATCAGAATTTTACTTTTGGAAATATGGTG